TGGAACAAGTCCATGGCGACCTATATGGACCAGTCTCACCTCCAACACATGCAGGCAACAAATATTTTATGCTGTTAGTTGATGATTACAACAGGGTGATGTGGGTGTTCTTAATAAAGATAAAATATGAAGCCTTCCATACCTTCAAGAATTTCCAAAGCAAAGTGGAGAAAGAAACTAGGAAAAACTAAAAGTGTTAAGAACAGACCGTGGAGGTGAGTTCCTGTCGAAGCAGTTTGTGGAGTACTGCAATGAAGCTCGATTGGAACATCAATACACCGCACTCTACTCCCCACAGCAAAATGGGGTAGTAGATAGGAGAAACCGGACGGTGCTAGAGATGGCCAGGAGTTGTCTAAAGGAAATCGCGGTACCTGATATATTATGGGGGCGAGGCAGTGAGTCACGCGATGTATGTATTAAACCACCTAAGCACCAAAGCTCTAGATGGGACTACACCATATGAACTATGGACTGGATGAAAGCCACATGTAGGTCACCTGAGAGTCTTTTGCTGTGTTGATCATATGAAAATAGTAAAGAATCACCACAAGAAATTGGATGATCGGAGTAAGAAAGTAGTATATCTAGGCACTGAGAAAGGCTCAAAGGCTCACAGGTTACTAGACCCTAATACTGGTGTGATATATGTGAGCAGGGATGTTATTTTTGAGGAAAATCGAAGATGGGAATGGCAGATTTCGTTGAAGATCAAATCATCACTAGACATATCCTTCACCGTCGAAGTCTTCGTGTTTAGTGAAGAGTATTACAGCAACAATGGAGAATGGGTATCGGACACTTCTGAGCACGTAAGCGGGTCAGATACAGCTGGGAATTAAATTGGGGCACCCAATAATAATGAAGTCTGGGCCGAATCAATTCAGTCCACTAATTCAACAGCCAACCCAATCACCCACTTTACACACGGTAACACGCCACCGGGTACACCTGTTTCCTCTGTTACACCAAATCCCTCAACTCACGTAGCAACTCCAAGTACCACCTCAAGCTCTACTGGTGGTGGTGCCCCAAAATGATACCGCGTACTCTCCGACTTATATGAAAACACCGATGAAATTGAACTATCACCAGAAGAACTCATGTTGATGAGCAGTGAAGAAGAACCTGAAAGCTATAGTGAAGCCAGCTGAAAGAAGGAATGGATACAGGCTATGAACGATGAGATAGCTTCAATTGAAAAAAACAACACTTGGAGCTTAGTCGCACTCCCAAGAGGAAGGAAGCCAATTGGATTGAAATGGGTCTTAAAAGTGAAACGTGACCCAACTAGAAGGATTGTGAAGCACAAAGCAAGGATTGTGGCAGGGGGTTACGTTCAAAAGTAGGGCATTGATTATGAAGAAGTTTTTCCTCTAGTGGCAAGAATAGAAACAGTTCGAGTCATCTTGTCTCTTGTAGGCTCGAATGGGTGGCGTGTGCATCACCTGGATGTGAAGTTGGTATTCTTGAATAGGCATTTAAATGATGAGGTATATGTTTCACAATCCCAAGGTTTCGAGAAGAAGGATGAACCTGGAAAAGTGTATAAACTCACTAAAGCCCTGTATGGCTTAAAACAAGCTCTCAGAGCTTGAAATTCATATCTAGACAAATATCTGAATAATTTGGGTTTCAAAAGATGTGCCCAACAGTACTCTGTGTAGACAATAACAAAGAATGGAAGCAGTCTGATTGTTGGAGTGTATGTAGATGATATACTTGTGACAGGTAGCAATCCAGAAAACATAAAGGAGTTCAAGAAGGAGATGAAGGCCAAATTTGAATTGAGTGATCTTGGCTTAATGTCATACTACCTGGGAATTTAAGTAAACCAACAAGACAAAGGAATCACATTAAATAAGGAAGGTTATGCCAAGAACATTCTGGTCAAAACTCGCATCACATGGACGTGAAGTTGGTATTCTTGAATAGGTATTTAAATGAAGAGGTATATGTTTCACAATCCCAAGGTTTCGAGAAGAAGGATGAACCTGGAAAAGTGTATAAACTCACTAAAGCCCTGTATGGCTTAAAACAAGCTCCTAGAGCTTGGAATTCATATCTAGACAAATATCTGAAGAATTTGGGTTTCAAAAGATGTGCCCAAGAGTACTCTGTGTATAAAAGAACAAAGAATGGTAGCAGTCTGATTGTTGGAGTGTATGTAGATGATCTACTTGTGACAGGTAGCAATCCAGAAAACATAAAGGAGTTCAAGAAGGAGATGAAGGCCAAATTTGAATTGAGTGATCTTGGTTTACTGTCATACTACCTGGGAAATGAAGTAAACCAACAAGACAAAAGATCACATTAAAGCAGGAAGGTGATACTAAGAACATTCTGGTCAAAACTCGCATGTTAGACTGCAATCCCACCAAAAGTTTAATGGAGCATAAACTCTCTTTGACCAAGGATGGAGATGCAGAGCTGGTAAATCCAGCTGAGTACAGAAGCATTGTTGGCTGCCTAAGGAATCTCACTTACACTAGACCTGATATAACCTTTGTTGTTGGTGTAGTTAGTGGATTTATGGAGAAGCCCACCATAAAACACCTCCAAGCTGTAAAAGGAATCCTTAGATATGTTAAAGGAACCTTAAGCCATGGTTTAGTCTATTCTAAAGGAGGAGAAAATGTCAAAATTCTAGGCTATACTGATAGTGACTTGGCCAAAGATGTAAATGACAGAACAAGCACACGAGGAATGGCGTTTTATGTAAATGGAAACTTGGACACATGGGCATCTCAAAAGCAAAGGGTAGTGGCACTTTCATCTTGTGAAGCTGAGTTTATTGCTGCCACTATGGCAGCTTGTCAGGGCATATTGCTAAGGAGACTTTTTGCAGAAATCACAGGTCAAAGAGTACCACATGTGACACTGTTTGTAGACAACCAATCAGCTCTTGATGTGATGAAAAACCTTGTATTTCATGGTCGGAGCAAACATATTGACATCAGGAATCATTTTATCAGAGGGTGTGTTGAAAATGGAGAAATTATAGTGACTCATGAGTGTGGGAAGAGCCAAAAAGCAGACATTCTCACAAAGTCCCTAGCAAGAGTGAAGCATGAAGAGATGAGGGACTTAATTGGGGTCAAGGAAATTCAGAATTAATGGGGAAAATGTTAAGAATAATTCAGAATTATTGTTTTATGCATTTTTTTATTAGCTTTAGAATAAATCAAAGTAGCTAGTGAAGTGGTCCCTGGTCTACAACATCTAGTCAAATTTGTTTCCTAGTCTTTAGTTAAGCTCTAGTTTAAATACATAGGGAAATGTACGTTGTTAGTTACTCCCAACTTTATTTGTTTTGTTCAGTGAATAAAAAACACGTTGCCTCAATTATCCCCTGTGCCTACTACTTCTTCACTGTATCTTCTGTGTTCACTATACAACTTTTTTTAAAACTATTTATTCCAGTTTTACCCTTTCTTTAAAACTGTTTAGTCCACTTCGCTGTTTTTTGTTTCCTATCTTGGTAATAAAAGTATTTATTACCCCTGCAATAAACCAACATACCTATATATATTTGATGTAGGCGTTGTAGGGCAGCAAACCGAACGTCCCCAATTCTTTGACAGTTTATCGATGAAAGATAAAAAACCGATGGCGGGTAAGTTTGTACTTCGCAAACCTCTGTACTATTTTATTCTTTGAAAATCATATGAGAGACTTTGTTTAAGGTATGCTGCTTATGATTTCTTCTTTTCATTCTAGTTGAAATCGCAAACTCTTTTTTTTTGGAATCGTTGCCAATTGTTATGTATCTATAGAAACAGAATCAAGAATCTGATTTAGCCATGTCATTGATTACTTTTAAGTTGAAAGTTATGCTGTTTATGATTTCTTCTTTTCATTGCAGTTGAAATCGCAAACTCTTTTTTCTGGATCATTGCCAATTTTCATGTATCTATAGGAAACAAAATTAAGAATCTGATTTAGCCATGTAATTCATTGCTTATAAGTTGAAAGTTATACTGTTTATGATTTCTTCTTTTCATTCCAGTTGAAATCAAAAACTCTTTTTTATGGAATCGTTGCCAATTGTCATGTATCTATAGGAAACAAAATCAAGAATCTGATGTAGCCATGTAATTCATTACTTTTAAGTTGATTTAAGCTAGGTTTTGCCTTATTGCTACAATAAAACCATTTATTTACTTATTACTTATGTTACCACACCCGAAACCAAAAAACTCTATAATACAAGGAAATTAGGAGAGTATCAGTAACGTCAAGTTGTTCTATGTTTTTTTTTTTATTTTTTTTTTCCTTCATTTGTCCTTTGCAATTACTTCTTATATATATATATATATATATATATATATATATATATATATATATATATATATATATATATATATATATATATATATATATATATATATATATATATATATATATATATATATATATATATATATAACGACAGAGATATATAAGAGGAGGGGGTTTGTAACTTGTGCTGAAGAAGATAAAATCAGTAACTTGCCATAACACTTGATAGACTCGATCTTAGAGTGGCTCCCATTTGATGATGTTGTAAGGACGAGCATTATATCAAAAAATGGGAGATACAGATGGACTACAATGAAAGAACTGGCTTTTAAAGAGCAGAATTGTAGACCCTTAACTACTACCGATTTGAAATTTGAAATCTTGAATTGGTCAATCTCCATGACAGACTGCCCATACAGAACCAATGCCAATTCCACTTCAATTATCCATCAAATTATCTATTCAACTTCTTATTGCCTGAGGTTCTTACTAGAGAACCGAATTTGAAATCTTGAATTGGTCAATCTCCATGACAGACTGCCCATACAGAACCAATGCCAATTCCACTTCAATTATCCATCAAATTATCTACTCAACTTCTTATTGCCTGAGGTTCTTACTAGAGAATAGAATTGTAGACCCTTAACTACTACCGATTTCATGAACACAATGGAAAACAAGATACTGATTTCCTTAACTGTCAGGTTGATACATTGATGCTATAGTTTTAAAACCCCATAACTTGCACGACCTTCACATCGATAGAGGCATTCCAAATCACAACCACATAAGGCTTTTTTCATCATTATTGAAAACATCCCCTTATACCCTGAACCCTCCAAATGATGCCCTGGGCATACAGGTTCTTTATCCCATATCTCACTAAAATACAAGCCTGGAACGAATAAACACATGATTCCCAATGCAAGTTCCACCAAAAGTCAACTAAAAAATGGCCACTCATAAAATTTCTCGTAAATTCTTCCTTAAGGTTGAAGGACGTCAATCCATGAATCTACCCCCAGTCCCTAATTGGAGACACCACCAAAACATGCAGAAAAGTTCCTCAAAACATTTCGATTGCGAATTGTCCACCAATTCGAAATCCAGAATATGAACCAAAAGCCTTTAATAACCCTTCACTTCCTGACTAGCCATTTCTAACCACTGCTCCTATGAGCAAAGATGAGAAATCAAAGAATTTTTCACATTTGCCTCCAATCCTTATCAACTCAAGTGTACCACTACCTGGCAAATCACTCGGGACATTCACCAAGAACTATATGATTCGAGACTTCCTAATTGATACCCAATCTTGATAATCGGAACCCTAATAATAGCTTACGAACAATGAGATTTACAACACTAACCTTCTGCAGTGACTTTTCGATGCATGAATGATACTCCAACAAACATTATATGTCCTCTTTATCTAAAGTTGATTTGTGAGCCTCCTGATTTCTATCAACGCGCCAATACCGATAGTACCACAAACAGAAGTAATGATCAATCATGTTCACTAGGCCCACAGCCTATGACTGGAATAACTAGTAGAGTGTTAATTTCGCAGAGCCAAATGATAAGATTTGAATCTTCGGGGGGTTAAAGTGTAATTGCGGGTTTAATTTGTAAAGATTTTTAGAAGTCAGGGGGTGTTAGGTAAGTATTGGACTTATATTCAATAGACTCTTGGCGGCAAGGACTGAAAGGTAAATTCTGGAACTTAGTTGAGAAGGTTTTGTAGAGGAGGGGCCATTTGGTAACATTTGGACTTAAGTTGAAAGAAAAGAAGAGAATGAGGGACTATTTTGTGTCATTATGGGATGATTTTTATGTGAGTTGGGAATATAACGGGAAACTCATCACCCTCTCAACCCTAACCCTAACCCTACTTCTAAACACCGGCCGCTACCTCCTTTCTCCATTGTCCATCCGTCACCACCCGACTCCCTTGTTGTTCTGATCAACCAAGACCACTAATGACATCTACCATGACCAGAGATACTGAAGACCAATAGGGGATAACGGGCGATCTTCGGGTGCTGTCGGGTTCTCACCTCCAACTGCCATTGTGTCGTTGCTGTTGAAGACGGAGCTATCAATTGCGACCACGACAAGTTCCTCTCCGTTGTTGCTGCTGCTACAGTACTCAGTGGGTTCGAAACACCTTCTCCTCTCTTCATTTCTCTCCTGGTGGCTGCATCATCGATGCCATCTGGAGGCTGGTCAACACCGCTGACACCCTCCGTCGGCCGCATGCCACCGTGGAATGGTGGTTAGGTTCGTCGAATCGCAAAGTGGGTACATGTGTGTTGCTGTAACAGGATAAAACTATGTCTTTTCTGATGAGCGCAAGTTGTGAAGAATTGTCATGCTAGCCAATCATGGTTGTTGTCGCCATTAACACCGTCTTTAGCCACCTTCTTATGTCACTTTCGCCCTCGTACACCACCAGGTTGGTGGTTGGGTTTATTTCACAAACAGAAATCATATGTGTGTCGTTAATTAACTAGAAATCACAAAAGAGCCACGACAACCACCATGAGGTGGTGGCTAGCATCTCCGACCACATCCTGGCACCACAACGGAGGCTATGTGTGTGTATAATTTATTATTAGTATTTTGGATATTGTTGTATGTATGTTGTATCATTGTATTGTGGATGGAATACTCAAGGAAAAATCCATCACCACCACCGTGAGGTGGTGGCTGCCGCCACCAGCCGTCGTGTTGGGTCGCGGTGTGCATTGTGTGTTTGGATTGTTAATTTAGATGCTTGGACATAATTAGCCTAAATTCATTACCACCACCACAAGGTGGTGGCCGCTGCCGTGGCCGCCATTGACCACGACTAGCCGAGGTGGTAGTGGGTCGTGTCCAACTTAATTAACAATTAATTAACGTAAAAGCTTAATAAATGGTCTAATTTGTGTGTTTTGGGTTGGAAACCCTGATTAGGGTTTAGAACATCCTAATCTTTGAGATTTTAATTTGGACTTATTGGAACCCATGTTTTAGTCCATTGGAATTGGATTACACACGATCACACTGTATGATTTATATAGTAAAGTGATGGAATTAATGGATTAAGTCCTTAATGGGTTAAGTAAGAAACACATAATCCTAATCGTCATTGTATGTGAAAACCCTAATTTTGCTTGGTCCTTGAGTTGGGCCTTTCTTTTGGGATTTGGTGATTGGGCTATTGATGAGCCATCCAAGAACAAGTATATGGACTAAAATAGTTAGATGGGCTTTAGGGTAAAGACCATTTGAGGGGCTTGGGCCTAATTTGGAAAATTAGGCCATAGATGGGCCATAAGTGGGCCTTAATGATTTTAAGATATTGGACCATCGGAATGCCAAGTTTTGGACTAGAATAAATTGTTGGGCCTTAAGATGAGACCATGAAGAGGTTTGGGCCTAATTTGGAAAATTGTGCCATATATTGGGCTTTGGTCCATTGGGTGACTTTTGGGCCTTTGGAGTGTGAGTTTGTCCCTTGGGCTTGAATCAATATAAGTTCGGAGTAAAGTAGTATTTTACCCCAAGCATGAACTTATGGTTATGTATTGGAACCCAATTAGCAGTTGTTTGATGTTAATAGTTCGGGAATCTATCATCCAATAGCTAGGGTTTTCCCCACGGGACTTCAACACTATGAGGTGAGTTCTCGTCACTATATCAACAGGGTATAAGGCACCAAGGTCGGCCCTTTCGATTGTTATCCTAATTATAGTATGCTTGTATGTTGTTATGATTTGTTAGATCGGTATCCTGGTAGATAGGATATTGTTATGATATTATGATATGTTAGATCGGTATCCTGGTAGATAGGATGATGTTATGCTTAGTGATCTATATGATCTGTGCCAATTTATGGATTGTTTATGTGTTATGTGTATGTCGATATATATATGTGTGTTTGGTTGAGGCGGTCCTACTGTGAGCTAAAGGCCAACAGGCCAGGGGCGGTCCGGATAGACTGAAGTCCCTTCAAGGTGGTCCAGACATGCTGAAATCCCGATGAGTGGTCCAGATAGGTTGTAGGCCCTACGATACAGTCCAGAAATGTTGTTGGCTCGGGAGCAATCGAGATAGACTGTAGGTCCTGGGAGGTGGTCTAGTCAGGATGAATGCTCATTATACATACTGTTTGATATGATATTGTTTTGGTTTGTATGGTGTTGCTATTTTGGGGGTAACTCACTAAGCCTTCAGGCTTACATTTATCGATTATTATTTCAGGTTCTTCTGCTGATCGCAGAAAGGTGAAGGCATGATGTACACTTCCTCATATCTCACCTAGATTTCTGGGATACTCTGATATGAAACTATTTTGAAAACATAACTGTAATAAATAATGGTTTTTGAATATCAAAAAGTTTTAAATTTTTTTTTTTGTGAATTTTGAATTTTTTGGATGTTGGTATCAGAGTCTTGGTTTGAGGGAACTGGAGGAACATTCCTGTGAATCTAATCTCAAACTAAGGGAAAAGGATTTTCAAAATGGTTTTCAAAATACTAAAGGAGGATGTGAAGTCTACGATCAGCCAGAGCCATTAAGCAGACCCCAAAACAGTTTGATATGATATTGTTTTGGTTTGTATGGTGTTGCTATTTTGGGGGTAACTCACTAAGCCTTTACGCTTACATTTATCGATTATTATTTCAGGTTCTTCTGATGAGCGCAGAAAGGTGAAGGCATGATGTACACTTCCTCATATTTCACCTAGATTTCTGGGATACTCTGATATGAAACTATTTTGAAAACGTAACTGTAATAAATAATGGTTTTTGAATATCAAAAAGTTTTAAAATTTATTTTGTGAATTTTTTGGATGTTGGTATCAGAGCCTTGGTTTGAGGGAACTGGAGGAACATTCATGTGAATCTAATCTCAAACTAAGGGAAAAGGGTTTTCAAAATGGTTTTCAAAATACTAAAGGAGGATGTGAAGTGTACGATCAGCCAGAGCCATTAAGCAGACCCCAAAACACCGTACAATTATTTGATATGTTAGAATAGTATGCTAGTGCTAGGCTAGGGATCTTTAGGAATTTCATGATAGAATTGTTTGATTATATAATGTTTGATAGCCTAGGATTTTCCTTATATGAAATTAACATCATTACTATAGTTGGTTAGTGTATGCATCATAGTTGTACATAACTAAGATTCTATGGCTTGAGAATATTTGGTTTGATTTTATTTCCTGTTCCATGTCTGGTTGTGGGCTTTGAGTAGGATCGGTTATTTGACTGTCTATAGGATCCAATGTTATGTATGACTATAGTATATGAGTGTTTTAGGGTTTGTGGAAGTCTTATGAGCGGGTGCAGTGTATAGAAGGTCAGCGTGAGAATTGATTAGCCATACTGGGGAGAGTATGGGTAAGGCGAAGTTGCACGCAAGGTGTTGGATGTCTGAAATCGAGGATTTCGCACAAGGATATGTATGATGTTATTGCATTTAGTGTAGTTGTTTTGCTATTGAGCAAGCTTCAAGAGTATTTTATGACTAGGACTTAGAGGATCCGATATGATTCCTATGACAATCCAAAATATTTGGATCAAGCGAGGTCTAAAGTGTAACCCTATTATAACAAAAGCCTTGAGAACTAAAAGGGCATAGTTGCTTATACATGGAAGTATACACAATAGAAATCACATATAAGGTAACCTCTTGAAAATAAACTAGTTTATCAACGCAAACTAGACAAATGAATTTGAATAAGAATCTTGGATTAAAAGATTGTCTATTAGTATTTAGCCTAGTTTCCCACACACCATAGAACATGGAAGGCCATAGGAACAAGGACTTAAGCTAACATATATGGATATAAATATATTTAATAAGCTTTATGGAACCATGATTGAATGCACTCTTGTCAAAGTCAACAATATAGCACCCATAAGCATTTACTTAATGAATTTGGCCCTAGAACTCCACCTATGACGAAAACCACCATAATGGGCCATGAATAGGGAGTAAAAACTTTAAGGAATCCATGCTAGGGCGTAAACACTTAAGGAAACTCACTTTAGGGCATAAACACCCTTGGTGGACCACCTAGTGGGCGAAAACTCAAGTGAAAACCATCCTAGGGTGTAAACACCCTTGGTGGACCACCTATAATTCGAAAACAACTTCATATCTTAAGGGGTTTACGAATTAGGGAAGGAAAAAGACAATTATATTTGACTTTAAGGTGTGACATTTCACCCCTTTCCATGGCAAGCACAGTTAAACTCATATTAACCATCAAATAACTAAGCGTAATCCTCTAGTAACCTAAGGAAGCATCGTATCCACTTTTACCCTGTTATTAAGAAACAAAATCCCCTCCTTCCATCTCAGACTTATCATATCCCATTACCGAGAAATCTAAAATTTTCTCTCTGAGAGTCAAGTGTCAAGTTCTTAGGATACTAAATTCTTCAAGAAATTTCCTAAATCCTAGTAAGTACTTCGAATTTGTATAGTGATCGTACACCTTATCATGTTAATTTCCTTCCATTTACACATACCATTATGTATTAAAAACCTTTACGATATCATTACTCTCAAGGAAGATCATCAACTCCATCTAAGTGTTTAGGCTTGGAAACTGCTCAACATCTCTTCATATCAACCCACAAATCCAAACCAAAGTGAGTTCATACCCCCATATTTTGAATGTTTTTCAATGTTTTCGGGGGGAATACAAGTTAAACTATGTTTATCCCACAAATAACTACAAATTTGTCATCTTTAAGCTAAGGTTAAATTATTATTTGTACAAATTAAAGCATACTGTAGTTTGGTATAAATATTTGTGATATATATATATATATATATATATATATATATATATATATATTAACAAAATTAATATGATCAATGTTATAAAATCATAAGAAAAGTTAAGATCTGCAAACTACAAGGCTTTTGGGAACCTTTATTAAAAAGATAACTTTACTAGCAAAATTTGGTTCATCATAGTCATCTAGTGCGTTTTAATACCTAAATACTATTTTTTTATATCATATTTTCATGTTGAAATACATCTTTATATTTTTATAAACGATTGCATCAATAGTTTCAAACCTACGAGATAAACTATAATTGGTATAGTTTGGAAGTCACAAATCACACTTTTCATAAATATGTATAAGTACTTCACGGTATAACTATCCTGTTTTCAAGTAAAAGAGTTATAGTTCTCGTGAATCTGTTAAGGCTCTTGTGAAATTTTCCTTCATTGTACCTACCTAGC